TCTCTCTCTCTCTCTCTCTCTCTCTCTCTCTCTCTCTCTCTCCCCCTCTCCCTCTCCTTCTCCCCATGATCCCCCGAGGCGCGACCCAGCATGCCTGAAGGCTCATGCGCGCGCAATTAGAGTCATGACATACGCAGGATAACCTTCAGCCCGTGGAATCGCATTGAGTCGCAATAACAATCGAGGCACCCCCCGTCCATTCATCCTCGCTCGTTTGTGATCCGACTCCCCGCCAAATAATCCATGCCGCATCGCCTAACTTGCTTGTCCGGCCGCATAACTTTGGCCAATCTTAGCCTTGGCCCACCGCCAGCTAACTCTAGCCCATCTGGGAAGCTCATCCCTGTAAGGCGTTCCTCTCCTCACGGCCCCCCCACCGAGGCCTATTTCTGTCCAATCAAATCCTTGTCTTCCAGCCTCCCGATTTTCCCTTTCCTTTCTTCAGTTGGCAGCTGACTTGGCTGCGAGCGAATAACAGCCCCACTCATCACATGATTGGTTTTCCCCCTCCGCTGTGGGCGGGCCTCCTCTCCCTGACTCCTTCAAGCCACTCTCGCTTTGTCATCTCTGTGGCTGGGTCTTCGTCATTCTAGAAGCCATTCTTGGCTCCCGACAATTTGATTTGCGATCGCCATCGAAGAAGCCAAAGGCGTCTTATTGTCCAAGGATAACCCAAAACAACTTTGGAAGCAATCCCACCCTCCTTGCCTTGCATCAAACCACGCGATTTTGAGAAAAGTACTGCATCTATCATCAGTAATGGCCGACAGCGCGGTACCTGAAGCCGACGCCGCCCCCGTCGCCGTCTTCAAGCGGCGAGGCGCAAAGGGCAAGGCCAACATCCGCAAGAGGCCCGCGACACCACCACCTGCTAACAGCGACTCCGACTCCGACTACTCCTCCTCCGAGGACGAAGCAGGCCAGCGCGTCAAGAGGCGCAAGAAGAACGCGGGAGCCATCACAGCATCCTCCAGGGACCACGCCACATCAAATAAAGATCTCTCCGCCACAGTATACACCGCTGATCGCAGCGTGCCCATAACGGACTCCAACGATGCCACAAAACACAGCAATTGGTACGACGAGGACGGCAAGGACGCGCTTTCTTCCAAGAACCTGCTAGGTACTACGCGGGCCGCACCGAAGGGGTCACAGGCCCCCGACGGTACTTACAAGGGCCTCGCGAACCAGACATCCTTCATCACCAAGAACCCGGACGCGCCAAACAGGACCGTCGGGCCCATCAAGGCGCCCACGAACATCAGGACCATCACCGTCACCGACTTCGCGCCAGACGTCTGCAAGGATTACAAGCAGACGGGCTTCTGCGGTTTTGGCGACAACTGCAAGTACCTCCACGCGCGAGAGGACTACAAGCACGGGTGGCAGCTCGACAAGGAGTGGGAGAGCGTCACCAAGGGGAAAAAGAACATTGGCGGCACCGTGGTCGCCAGCGCGGACCGGGGGGCTAAGGCCGACGACGATGACGACGACGCCGAGGAGGAGGCCATGCTGGAGAACATACCCTTTGCGTGCATCATCTGCAAGGAGCCCTACAAGGCGCCCATCATCACGAGGTGCGGGCACTACTTCTGCGAGCCTTGCGCGCTCAAGAGGTACAGGAGGGACCCGACGTGCGCCGCGTGCGGCTCGGGCACCAACGGCGTCTTCAACTCGGCGTCGCGGTTGAAGAAGTTGCTAGAGCGGAAGAGGGAACGCGCGGCCAAGAGGCGGCAGGAGGCAATAGAAGCAGGGGAGGAGGTGAGCGATGAGGAGGAGGAATAGCCGGAGGACGGTTGATATGAAAAAGAGATACCAATGAACCTCTACCCTTCGAGGCTTGAACACAATACTGCCCTGGGTATACAACGAGAGCATATGAGTTCTATGTCGAATGTCTGGTCTCACTGTTTTTTTCAAGCGACCAAACCATTTCGCGAGGTTCTCGTATTGTTATCACGGCATACAGGACCGTCCTGTCTTTGCGCAGTCCCTCGTTTCGTCCGGAAGCATGCCCAACCAGCAAGGAGTGAGATGGACTGATGATGCCGTCCCCTTTACCGTTGACCTAACGATCCCAGAACCGAGGCGTGCTACCGTCGTCGAGTCGCTCCAAGGTCGCATGGTGTCTGGGTCCGAGACGCGCAGCGAATGAGGCGACGATGTCCTGCTCGCAAAGTGCAGGCAGACCAGTCCATATCCCCCACTCACGACGATCGTTACAGGAATGATCTGGAATCCATATACCGTAGCCTGTACATGCAGAAAGACAGTGCTGGTTATAGTTCTTCATCCCGTGTCCTCAATAACTCAGTGGGTGAGACAACGTTAGTAAGGGGAGAAGGACGCGGTGGAAGAGCGTCTGAGGACGTTGCGAAGGGTGCACGGTCCCGACGGCGTAGTGCGGCGTGCCTGCTTCCTCCTAGGTACAGTACGGATAGATTCCGTCACTCTGGTGCCTCCAACGGCACCGATAAGATAAGCAGCCTCTCAATCTCTAGGCGGCAACCCCCCTGCCACCATGTTCCCTGTCCAATCGTGAGACAACCCCGCCATCCATGTGATCGTCCGGAACAGCTGCCACAGCTCAACTCCCACTCATTGACATCAGGCGGGAACCTTTGCGGACTACATCATTCAAAGCGTCGGCGGATGAGCGAACTTTCTCCTTTCCACTTAGCAACAAATACTCTTCCTTTCAACTAGGTACACGCGCATCACCACGAAGCACCAATACCTACCTACCTACCTACCTATACAGACAGACCTCCAGCAGCTTAGGATCTTATACAACAACTACACCGACTTGGAACATCCCTAGCTTCTTCCACTCGGTCCGCTTTACAACCAGTCATGAACCTCCTCTACTCCACCGTGAACACCCTTCGCGACCGATACACCCCGGTCTCGCACAAGTCGACCTTCCGCCAAACGGGCCAAATCACCCCCGAAGAGTTCATCGCCGCCGGCGACTACCTCGTCTACAAGTTCCCCACCTGGTCCTGGGGCGATGCCGACTCTGACAGTCGCCGTGTCAGCCACCTGCCTGCCGGGAAGCAGTTCCTCGTAACGCGCAACGTCCCCTGCAATCGCCGGCTCGACGACGACTTCGCCGGTGACGCGGGCCACGAGGAGGCCGTCGTAGAAGGCGGAAAGAGCTCCGCGGGCGGCGGCGATGACGACGAGGACGGTTGGCTGCGCACCGGCGGGCTGGCAAGCTCGCAGCCATTGAAGGTGAGGGAGGTTCGGACGGTGGACGATTCGGGAAATGTCGGGGACAGGGAGGTTGTGGATGATGACGAGATTCCGGATATGGAGGACGAGGACGATGACGAGGCCATCATCCGCGACGCCGGAGACAGCGGCAAGAACAGGTGCGCCAAGCCCGCCAACTGGAACTGAGATGCGATGCTGACCCCTGGCTACGTAGCGGCCGCCGGACATACACTCTGTACATCATGTACTCGACCTACTACCGCACGCCTCGCCTCTATCTCTCAGGCTACTCGCCCAACAACCAGCCGCTGCCGCCGCACGCCATGATGGATGACATTGTGGGCGACTACAAGGATAAGACGGTGACGCTTGAGGACTTCCCCTTTTTCGCCAACAACATCAAGATGGCGAGCGTGCACCCGTGCAAGCATGCGTCCGTCATGAAGACGCTGCTCGACCGCGCCGACGCTGCCCTGCGCATCCGTCGCGAGAAGCTGCGCGCAGGTCGCGCTGTCGGCGGGGACCAGGGGATGGAGGGCCTCGTCGACGAGCTGGGCCGGCTCGATGTGCGCGACGCCCAGGCCGCCGCCGATAAGAACGACGAGTGGGAGGAGGTGGAGCAGAGCGAAGTCGAGGAGCAGGAGGTCGCGATCCGGGTGGACCAGTATCTCGTCGTTTTCCTAAAGGTAACGTGCCTTTCTTTTTTCTGACTAGCTGTCGTCCGTGAACGAAAAGTTGCTTACAGTCTGCAGTTCATGGCCAGCGTGACTCCCGGCATCGAGCACGACTTTACGATGGGTGTATGAATGACTACTCTTCTTCCCATGAACATGGCGACCGGGGTTCTTGTCACATTTCTCTCTCTATCTCTTTCTTTTGTTACGAATCTAACGGGCTTGAACAACGGGCGAGGCATGGGTTCCTTATTTTATTGGATTACCGGGGGGAGTGTGGGTTAGATTCACGGGACTGGCTTCGAACGGCGATGGAAGAACTCAGTAGACTTCAAAGTCAAGGCGGGATCATTCCGCTATTGTTACCCTTAAAACTGTTTTACTTGTAATATCTTTCTTGCACGTGGCGGATGTGGAGACAGGCTGTGTGCCATACCTATCCACGGTGATTTTGTGGCAACGTGACGAACTGGTGGCAGAATACGGGTGACATGAGCATTTGTAACTTGGTTATAGGCTGACGGTGATGCGTCGTGTGGGCGTTGCACGCGTTTAATGTAGGACCGGTTCCTACAAACCGCGTCAGGCGCAGCCGGCTGGGTTTCATCCAATGTCAAGTCATGTAGGCATCCGTTCCCCGAGCCGGTGTCGTCAGACTACACAGCCGGCGCGATAGCGAAGACGGTCTTCACCCGCTTCCTGGCCAAGGCTGTACTCGCGGCCAGTGCCCGTCGAGGTTGCCTAAGGTCCGTTGCCGGCGGATCCCCTATCCCGGATGTTGCACACGCAAGGTCGCCATTGCGTCCTCTTCCAGGCGCTGTAGTCGCGTCCCGGCGCGGCGTTGGCAGGCCCGTTGACGAGGCGGCAAGCCTGCGCCTGGTTCCCCGCCCGACTCCTCGAGGTTCGTTAATGGGGGGGGGGGGGGGGGGGGGGGGGCTCGTCCAGCTGACACCGGGGCGCGTTTGCTCGCGTTGTTTCGCCTGGGCCCCGATCCGGAATCCCTCGTGGCGCTAGTTGCGCGCCCAGGAGAAGTACTTGCGGTCCTCCGGACGGCCGGCGTCTGCGAAGATGGCAGAGAGCTAGTTACTATTTCAACCCGACGGCTTTCATGTCAGCGGCAACCTTGGCTCGCCTCGTCTAGCCTCACCATCGCAGTGATACCGAGACAGACGTACAAGACACTCTCTGATGATCGATGTCGGCGTTGTCTTGATCTCCTGGTTACGGCTGATCGCCAACGTCGCTCATGCTTTCGCCAAGTACAACTCACTACCCTTGCGGGAGGATGTAACTAAGCCGGTGAGTGATCCGACCTCGCACCTAGGATTACCGCGCAGCAAAAGAGCAGAGCATGGTTATCTTATATGGTTACATGGTCTACAGAAGTTCCAGAGGATGTAGATAGATTTGCACTTCCATGTGTTGCTGTTACTGCCGCCTTGGCGGTTTAGATCATGTGCGTAATTCCGGGTTTGAATGTCATTTTCTTTCGAAATGCTATGGGCATATGCTTCTTTCACCGGGACTCCGGTATTACATTCATTTAATCCACTAGCTAGCTGCCTCCATCACTAGTGGTTGATTCCAGATGCGCCCTGACTAGCTCAAAGATATCTATCGCATTGCTTCGCATTGCCCACATTAGCGGCGTGGTATAGATGCTCATGCCCTCGGGTTCCTGTGTAGGTATGGCAACAACATAAAAACGAGTGGCGGAAACCATTCCCTGTATCCCATCCAGCAGCACACTCCCACCCACCACTTACATGCTTGCTCAGCCACTCAGGAGTCTTCACTATCTCAGTAACGCCCTCCTTAGCATAGGGAGGAGCATACCGTCCAACCTCAAAAGAGGCCAGGCACCTTGACTTTAGCTCTGTTAAGCCTGGCCCAGTGAGGGGGTTGACGTATCTTGCTAAGGTGCGGAATTCCTCAGGGAACATGATACTCTCCCGCACCTCGTGAAGACATGATCCCTTCAAAGTCTTCTCTACCAGAAACAACTACTCCTCGCGAGTAGTTGCCTCTTCTTCAGAAGGCTTCTCAGCACCTGTATCCTCCAAGTCATATACAGAACAAAGCTCAAGCTCATCCCAGCGTACAAGGATCTCATGCGGTGTTAAGACTAGCGTTGAGAGATTTAAGTCAAATATAGGATGTAAGGTCTCAATACGCAGCTTGTTTATTTCCTATCCGTCCTCAAAGTCGCCGTCTTCTGGTACTGCGTTGGCAACTAAAGAAGCTAAGGGATAGGTTGGGACTATTTCTAGTATGTAATAGACAAGACATACCATAAAATTCGACAATACGGTGGTTATGTTTAGATATATGAGAGAAATAGACCTTAAAATTAGCCTCGTTCTCTTCGGGGGAAGAGCACATGGTTGCTAGTAGTGCGTTGTTGAGACATACATACCCACAGAGAGAGAGAGGGGGGGGGGGGGGGGGCTTGTCTAGAAGAACAGGATCCCCGCTGACTTGGGAAGGAAAATGGTGCCCTTTTGGCAAGCTACGTTTTCATTTTCTTTCATGAGTGGCAATTGGCACTGGGACGAGGCTGTAATTTAAAGGTTAACAAGCTCCTGTTTGCCTAGTTGAACGGAATATGGACAAGCCCCTAAATCGGTTTGATTTGGATCGCCTTACTTTCTTGCTTGTAGCAACAGTCCTTTACATCTTCAAGGTGGAGCACCAAAAGTACGTTACTCATCAAGGCTTGCAAGAGGCGTCACCTACGCGACTCAGTGGTCTTTAGGATCGAGCAACAGCTTCTTCACTCCAGTAAAACATTACAATGATCAAGTGCTCGTAATAATTTAGCTAGCTTCGGAATCAAAGTCTGGTGGCACCGCAGGCTCAGGGGGAACAAGGGAGTCATAGAGTGCATCGAAGATATTATATACAGTCTCAACACAAGAGACATGAAGAAAGCAAAGGCTGCCTGAGAACTCAGAGATAGAATCTAGGGAGTCTTATGACTCCTCCGTGAAGCATGGGGGAATCTGTTCCGTCATTATTGTTCCCGTCTGTGTGTACAAGATGACTGAGTGCCTCCTTCCTTCCTTCCTTCCTTCGTGAGTCACGGCTCCTGGCTTGTAGGGGCAGGTACGAGTCCCCCGTTCTTCCCTCGGCCACATCTGGCAGCATCGCCTGCCTCCCATGCAGACGGAAATGTACCTGTATTACTCCAACATGTGTCAAACATCATCACTCAATAATGAATATACAAGGGTTGCATACAGAACCTGAGCGAGAAAGCAACTTAGCTGCTAAGTGCTAAAAACACTTGACGTATAGAAACGGAGGGCTCGACCCCTCTGAGCAGGGGAGTTGCTTTTCTTATATGTTTTCTTTGTAGTAAAGTTTTCCACCGTCGGGGCTGTCAAGGTGCAACCAGTGCCAGCTACACGTCGGTCGACAAAATGGAGACATGGCCATTCTCCATGAAGGAATCGCACTGAATCCTTCAAAATGAACTGATTTCATCCGAGGAAACCACTCAACCACGAAGCCTTGGGTTACGGCAACCGTTGGCATGAGGTGGCAGGCAGGAAGCGATGGCGGGGGAAGGAGAGGCAGCTGGTCTTGCTGCTCCTGACATCGTAGCTACCATTGTTGATGGAGGTGCAGAAGGGAGGAACCATCACATGGGAGTCACCTCTCCGGCTTCTCTTCACAACGTAGGATGAGGTAATCGGTTGGCAAGATACGAAGTCAGGCAAGGAGACCACGATGTGTAGCGGCCACTATACAGAAATACGTGATAAACAAGGACAACTCTCTTACCAGATGGACGAGTTCAACTGGGGCGACTTCCCTACTGGCAGGGCATGACAGGATGTTGCGCACTACACCGAGAGTGGTAATGCGAATCCTATTGACGACAACGGAGAGGTCTGCTACGATTTCGGGAATACTGGCAAGATGTTTGTTGTTCGTGTCACGACTCACATCCCGGATCCCTACCCGAAGCGCGAGTACAAGGTTCCAGAGCAAGAGGTCCCCGTCACCCTTGTTATCACGGGTAGCGATTTTTTTTTTGGCTTCATTACCTCGCTGTCCCACGGCCCCGGCAACTGTATGAACTCGATCAAGGTTTACATCAAGCGCCGCAAGGTCGGTGTGCGCAACGTGCCAAGCAAGGGCCCCGTTTATTGGGATGAGACCATCAAGAACGAGTTCTTTGACAAACTGATCGAGATCAGGAACCGCTGCGGAAAGCTCGACAGAACGATCCAACACTATACAACTGATAAGCTGATGAGCAGTAACAACCGCAAGGGCTGCGTACTCATAATCTTGGACACGGCCCATATGAAAAACATTCCGGATGCTAAATGCATCTCGACAGAGGACAGCATTTACCGCAGGGACGTCATCGAATGCACGTATGCCTGGCCCGACAGGGAAGACACAAAGGACGTGGCCGAATCTTCTATAGGCTCTTGGCAGAGGAGGAAAAACTTCAACATCGGTTAGTGGCTCAGCACGCCGAGCCCACCCACTTCGACGTTCCCCTACAGCATTCAGTCCATTGCTGTTCTGCCCACAAATCCGGCTCTATACTGGAAATGCGTCAACATCACCAGCTCCGCTGTCCACGCAGACTTACTCGTAACCAACGGTTGTGGAATCGTGTCACGCCTCACGATAGCATCGTGCATTTGGTGTTGTATGAAGAGTTGTAAGAAGAAAAGGCGTGCGAAGAAGGCCAGCATGGCCGCAGAAAGCACTTTGCCTGCGGATAAGTAGCGATGGCGATTTTCATAATGAAAAAATCCGGGTGATCACAGGGGATTACAATTATCAAGGTTGTTGGCAGAGTGTTGTTGTCGCGGATCTTTAATTTTCAATACTCATGTGATGGCTACCATAACGATGTTGGGAAGCCCATGGTGTGAACAGCAGTTGGTTTGAATTTCGTGCCAGCATAACGAGCTACAATGCTCATGTATCCAACAGTAGTGTTGTTTTGGGATATTATTTCTTAAACAGGTACTCGAGGTCGATCGTTATTATAGTTGGTTGTAGTCCTGAAGGTAACGTGAATCATAGTCAAGTGTTGTCTCGTAGATTGATTAGAAAACTACAAGCAGCTAGTAAGCGTAAATGAATACCACGCTGTCGTTCGCATTATTTTTTCCGCATCTCGCGCTGAGAAATCATGTCTTCACAAGCTCATCAAGTACTTGTCTTTATAGAAGTTGACGTATCGTTTCCTCGGGAGCCCAGTGTCAAACCGGGCCCCCAAGCAGCCTCGCTAGTCCACACGGACTGTTATGATGGATGGAAATGCCTTCCTCCAGGTTGGTCATGTAGCCTATTTCAATATGATATAGCAAGTCGCTGACTCTGAGGCTCGTGTGCCTCGCAATATCGGGACTGATATTACTCTCGCATACTGTGGCGAGAAAGACAATGAGAGACTAAGTTATTTTCTATCACAAGTGTGGAATGAGGAGCAGTTTTTTGAACTTGTTGTGTTGTGTTCAACTGAAACATATGGATAACGTTGATAAAGTGAAAGGATGTTTCTTTGATTTCCAAAAATCTGGTCGGCTTGCCTTTGTCAATCAGACTCATATCGAGGAGATTGTCACCGGAAAGTTGGCGTTGAGAAAGCCTATGACATATCTCAATGATTCATGTATTGCCATTGAGTAACACGTACATACAAATTTGTCTCTTTGCTGCTCCTGATATCACGGTTATTTCCCACAACTAGTCAAAAAGGGATAACTCCATAAAAGCAGTCCCTCTGGAGATAGCTATCGCTCGGACCAGGGCGTAGCCAGTCGCTATTGCCGTACCAAAGTCTCTGCCAATAGCAGTATCTCCTGCTTGATTATTACCCTTCAATTCACGTGAATGAGAAACATATTCCATAACGTTATTTGCCATACGTTTGACATCAAAGCCTGGCATCTGCCGAGATATCCGTACAGCAACGTGGAACACATACCAATCAATGTCTACAGACTGTAAATACCCCTCGGTTTTTTTTTTTTTTCATCAGCAGACCCTCACTCGCGTACCCGAGCCAGGAAGGCTTACGTGTAAAATATATATTGAAACAACCGAGGCTCGAAACCTGTTATGTAGACACCGAGCCTCATGATGGTGGTATTAGGTCTGAATGGGGCCTGCTTCGGTATGTCTCGTGGCTCTCAATGTCGCCACTGACAAGATGTGCAGACATGCGCCTCAAAGGTTCTTGGAATGGCGTGCCCTATGCTTTCCACAGGTAATCTACGTGTTCCCGTCACAAGCAATACATTTCTTTGGTTGCCTTGTGACGTTATGTGGAACCTCTGAGCTGGCTGGCGTGGCCTCCCGCGTGAGGGTCGTCGAATATCGGCGCAAGTCAAGAGGACGTTGACGAGGCTTGCTTCACGCCCGGGCCGTGCTGATCGCCGTCTGGGTACACAGCACGAGGTCTCGCCAACGAGGAGAACGACAGCCAGATAAATGCCGATATGGCACACAAACCCCTGCCCAGCAAGCCGACCCCGGACGCCGGCATGCATCAGCTCCGCCGCCACCAAGGAACACAGCATATGGCGGCGGCTTGTGGGGTAGAAGCCGGCCGTGCTCCTTCAGACAGACAGCGCGGGAACGGCGTCTGCTCTGTGTCATTGGGCGACTTCGACTACAGCCGCCATAGTCGACGGCACGGCTTACCCTTGTCGGACACCGAGGCCGTCGCTCGCCCATACTACGTATGCCAGCCGTCACAGACCCATTGTATTCCCGCAACCATACGGATACCTTTATCTACCCTACATGATGCTGGCTCTATCACACAGCATCCCAGGGGGGCTGACACTAGCTTGCATTCGGTTCGTCCCACGGAGCCGTGCCATGTACCAATCCCCCCGAATCCAGCCCAAGTACCCAATACTTTTACTCATTTCCCCCACGGAATGCTTCGACTCTTCCCTCCCCCCTTCCCACTGACGCTCTTCTTCAAGATTAGTCAAGGGCCACGCGTCTCGAGTCTTATCCCAAGCCAACGAGACCAGCCAAGCACGCCATCACGCGGCATCAGTGCCACAGACTAGAGCCCACCCTAACGCAACGCCTATCGAGCACCGACCGGCGTCGCATCTTTTATACACCCCCAGGAGAGAGCGGGGAGAGACAGAGACAACAACGAATTGTATGTCTGACCGACTAGATGGCGCATGCGGAGGACCCAGCGAGGAGGCAAGCCGCATGTCAATTAGCTGGCATGCTCCCCTCCTCTGCCAGTTGCCGATCTAGCCGTTCCCACCGTCGTCTTGGCAAATGCTTGACTCAATGTCAATTTCGCCCGTCATCGAGCCTCCAAACCGCTCCGGCGCCTCGGAGCCGGTCAAGACTGGCCGTTTTCGGTCCGATGCAATGACGATGCGAACTCTGCAGCCACACCACCCGCCCGACGCCCGGCTCGCAACTTCAGATTTGCCAATTTCAATTCGCTAGTCCCTCCTCGCGGCCGTGGTCGTCGTGGTGATCCGAATCGGGTTATGATGAAACCAGGCCTCGACGTACCCGTCTTCGTCGGTGAATAATGACAGAATCGGATTTCCCGAGGCCACGCCACGAGAGAGGGGGGAGGGCCGGCTTGGCTCGGGGATCGGGACCGCACTCGCGGTTATGAAAGCACTCGCCTACCCGAAACGAACGTTCGTGCCTCTGACCCCCCCTCCGGCGCCACCGCGGACTTGTGCATCTCCTGGCGACTCACACGCGCAGTGGTCCACACCGCCGCTCCTTCGCGATCCATGGCAAGAGGGAATGCCCGTTGTCAAGACCTCTCCCCACCATCACCTGCGGTCCACCAAAACAATCAAAAGTCGTTTCGGTTCGATCGAAAAGATACTTTGCACATGCACTCCCATCAGACTCTACAGCTAGCTGATCGCTTAGGTGGGTGAACGGCGCGAGGTGAAAGAAAAGGGGGGGGGGGGGGGGGAGTCGCTTGGGCTAACAGCTAAGGCGACCTTAGCTCCTCTTGCCGTTCTCATCGCATCAACTGGCAAGGGGGAGCCAGCTCCATGGCTGCTGTATTCACCGTTTCCTGCATCAAACCGACCCTCCAGCCCAGGCAGGACCGCGCAGGGCCTTCTTCCTCACCGGTCGCGAGCAGCGCGGTCCCGCTGGAGGCCACCATAAACAAAGCACACCACATGCCACACGCCACATGCCACATGCCACTGCTGCTGCTGTTGTTGCTGCTGCTGCAACCGCACCAGCAACAGTTACTCGTTCAACTAATCAGAGACTCGGTGAAGGGGCGACGGGCCAAGGAAGAGACGCAAACCAGGACGGAGGAGGGGGGCGTGCGTTGCACCCTCCTCAATACGGAGAACCGAACCGACGAGAGAATCAAGCGGAAGACGCCGGGTCGAATCGCTTCGGGAGACTCGGAAGAATGAGACGTCAGATGCGCACAGGGCTGGGCTGACGGGCTTTTGCCGGCTGGTGCGTGTTGGCTTGTTTGCTTGCTGGCTGGCTGAATATCGCTCTATCCTCACCACCACCTCCACCCATCGCCATCCAAAACCCTTCCTTCATAGCAGTACACACACACACACACACACATACACACATACACAAAACAATGCTGTTGCCAAGGTGGTCAAGCCTTCGACTGAACCCCCCTAGAGCAGGCTTTTTCCAATGTACCAAAAGATGACGGGGCACGGAAGCGAGCCCAGAACACACGCGCAGGACACTCCCACCACCACCCGGGAAAAAAGCAAGAAAAAAAAAGGAGAAGAAAAAGAAAAGAAAAGGCGGGGAAATGCGAGCTTCATTGGGCCCGTCAGCTCCGGCTGATTGGGTCGCATGCACACCATATGCATGCACACCATGCTCGCTCGCTCGCGGTAACGTTTCCCTGGAACGGCCGGTTGATTTCCAGAAATGGGTTCGCGCCGATTACCGTCCAACACCCCCCCCCCCCCCTCCTTTTCTTCCGTACCCTCATTACCGTTTTCACGACGCCTGACGTTTGTGTCATGTTAGATGACCTGACGCCGCCGGGGGAAAGGGGAAGGAGCGTTGTCCGTATGTGGACATCCGAGGTCGTATACGTCACTTCAAGTAAACACACTGTAAACAGAGACGCGCCCCGGCCCTCGTTGCTGGGCATATGGGTGGGTGTACGCCCCCCTCCCCCTTGACTTTCACTTTCCCTGCCTCCTTCGGTGTGTTTGCGTTTGTGTCTGTATGTCCCTTGTGAGTGTACATACCTGTCTGCTCTGAATGTGGGGGAGGTCTCTCTCAAGTGTCCCCCCCATGGGGCGAGCCAGATACATCGTGTCGAGACCTCTTGGCGAATCCTTTCAAGGTCGATGAACAATAGACATACATGGGTAAAGAGACACAAGCAGCCCCCCACTCCCCACAGCAGACAAGCAAGCAAATTGACGCAAGACATTACAGTGTAATTCTTTGATTGAAAGACCATGAACGTATCCTCAACCAAGACTTAGGTTTTGTCTATCCGATAAAACACGGTTGAAGTACTCTGTGCTTCTACTTGCACGCCCATGTCTTGGCAGCCCTCTCAGATCAATGTCCTCAGTCTTGCCCTTTTCTTAAGCGCGCCTCCTTCATCTCTCTTGGCGCACCCTTAGCTCTGGGACTTGCGTGCGCGTGTATCATCAAAGGTAGTTTTGATTATGTACAACATGCACATCTCATATGCCCTCTTTATCGGCCTGGATGTTGTCTTGCGTCTATGTGCGCGTATTCTTGTGACGCAGTGCAGGGCCGTGGCGCCGTAGCCCCTGCTGCTCCTCCCCACCCCCCAGTCAAGTGCTGGATGCATTCCCAACAAAAAAAGTAAAATCCCTTTCTCCAAAGGCTCGTTCCCTGAGCCTCTCTGTGAACGCCTTGTGTAGTGAGGTGGCTCATATTATGGAGCCACTTCCCAAAGATAGAACTGCGGCTATGCAGAATATGCAACATGCAAAAAGTCGTATAATCATATCGGGATCTAGTCAATAGCCCGTTTGGCCCGGCATTTTGCCAAGTGAGTGGCCGTGGCTCTCAAGTGGCAAGTGGTTATGACAGAACACCCTCTTAGTGTTAAGCTGAGCACTACCCTTCTTGGTGGCGTCGATAAGGTTGGCCGGGTCGTCGTAGCTCTCGAGCTGGCAGCATTCGATATTCTTGACCCAGCGGTGGTTGGCAATATCTGAAATGGACGCACGCTTTGCGGGGTTGGGGTTGAGCATCATGAGAAGCACACGACGGAGTGCAGGCGGAGAGACCATTAGGTCGAAGGCCGGGTAGTGAGGGTAATCCGTTTCCGTCATACGAGCATCGGGCTCAGGATGCTTGGCCTCCCACTTGTCCCATCCCTTGAGCAGCAGCCTGTAGCCCTCATGAGAGGTATCAGCCCGCTTCCAGATGTTGCCCCCAAAAGTGAGGTAAATCATCACGACTGCGGAGCTCCACACGTCGAGACCTCGAGGATCGTACTCGTCTTGCTTGAGAATGACCTCGGGCGCCGTGTATGGCTCGCTGCCGCACATGCCGGGCTTGCACAGCCGGATCTCGTCGCACATGCCCTTGCCGCATTGTCCACCAGCTTCACGGAAGCCGGGGTGATGGCCGGTGAAGACTTCTGACACACCAAAATCGGTGATCTTCAGCTTGCTGTCCTTGGTGATGAGGAGGTTCTCGAGCTTGATGTCGCGGTGAGCAATGCCGTTGCTGTGGAGGTAGTTGACGCCCTGGATGAGCTGCTTGAACAAGCAGAGTCGATCGCTCTGTCTTGCCGGGTCGGTCAAATAGCGCTTGGCAATTAGCCCGTAGAGGTCGCCCTCCGAGCAGTATTCCATAACGTGGTTCCAGCGGCCGTGATCAGTGCAAAGTCGAACCGTCTCAACGATGTTGGGATGGTGCAAACTCTTGGCGATGCTGAATTCCGACTTGATCTTCTTGACGTACTCGTCCTCCGTCTCCTTCTTTCTCCTGGCTCTGAACTCCTTGACTGCGTAGAGCTCATTTGGGCACCCCTTCCGGCACATCATGGTGACCTTGGAGGTGGCACCCTTGCCAAGGTGCTTGCCATGACGGCCAAGGAGCTTGTGCTGGTATTCGAACTCTGACAGAAGCTCGGCGACGTCAACTTGAAAATCATCGGGGAGACTTAAGCTCATGCGACGAGCCTTGACACCGACACCAGCATCAGGCATTTGAGCCCAGGGAGACGAGCCTTGCATGGGCAGGACGGGGTTCTTGAAATGATTGTCCAATGCAGGCGCAAGGTGACGGCTTTCAAGACGACCTTCGAAGCTGCTGGCGCGTCTCCTTCCCAGAGGAATCGGCTTCTTGGCTGCGTGCTTCTCTCGTCCAGGGACATTGGCGCCGACGAAGTTAACAGCCCGACCGCGGAGGCTGGTGAAGCCGGTCGAGGCCCTGTTCTTCTTCTTCATTTCATCCTGAGAAGACATGATTGACACAGTGTCGACAGGAGAGCCCGGCGACGGAGGCGTGTTTGACCTCGTCGTGTTCCTTGACCTGTTCATTGAGAAGCGTCTGCTACTGCTCTGAGCAGGTGCCGAGTCAATCACTGCACTTTCGGAAGCGTCGTTGGCCTGGGCCAAGAAGTCGAAATCAGGCCTGATGGACGAGTTGGATCTGCGAAAGATGTTGGACATGGTCCGTTTAAAGCTGGTTGTAGAACCTCGGGTGGGCCGTCTTTGCAGTGGGGTGAGTGGCGGTTCTTGGTCAGCAACAGGGTCAGCTGGAGCTGGAGGGTTGGCGGGCTTGGGCGTCGCAGCCAACGTGTTTGTGGACGGAACCGCGGGTGTGTGTGCGGTGTTGACCAACAGAGGCTTCGGCGTCGCCTGCACTTGATGGGTGGTCTGGCTCTCGGTAGCGAGGTTGGTGTCGTGATGGTCTTGACTGGGGCGGGTGGTAAACTCCTGGGACTGTCTCCCACTGCTGATGGGGGTCACAGGTTCATTCGGCGATTCGCTCTCTGACTCGTCGACTTCTTCGATGGGAGAAGAAAGATCGGTAGGAAACTGGCGGGGGGACGAGGACAGACTACTCGAGTTTTGTTGCTCGGGTTGCCGTTTGTCTGGAATTGCTAGCATTCGTTAGTGAGCGACGACTTCAGGGATGCTGCGGACGGAAACAGGGCGGGTTGGGAACAGCTGCTCAATGACGGAAGTGTAGCTAGGGGGTGCAGTGACCACCGGATGAGCGTACCTTGGGTGAGGGAAGCGGGCTGGGGCACCGCCAGGCTGGTGAGGACGGTCGCCATGTCACTTCGGAGTTTGGCCGGTGGGCACAACGACGGCAGCGGCGAAGGGTGTTCTAATCAGGTATGGGTACAATACGTAATTGGGCCACACACCACCTAGAGAAAACGCTCGGTGCTGGCGCAAGTGCTGATATGGGTCGGGTTTTTGGAGTGTGAATTAGTCCGCGGCGTTTCCGAGGGGGTCTCCAATTCTCTGGAGGGGGAGTAGCGTGTCCCTAGCTATCGGTATAGAAGCACCAGCGTGGAAAGCCGATAAGCCGTGTCGAGGCCTGTGAATGGAGTTGGTATTGGCGCAGTGACCGATAAGACCTTGTCGGCCAAGATCCAAGGACCCAAATGTGAGGGAGGGGGCAAAAGACAAGAGTTTAGTTCTTGATTTTTTTATCCCATTGCTTGTGGCTGCAGGCGTTTTCTCTCGTGTTGCTGTTGGGGCCAGAACGAGCGCTTGGCGTCGAACCAAAAGTGTGTCAGGCTTTTGAGTTGGCAGCTTTCGCAGCACAGGAAGCCGGGTAGGGTGTCTGGAGATGCGGAATTGTAAATGCACGCGTAGGTACGCCTGTGATTCTTGGTGTAAGGTGCCCGGGAAAGTGAGCTGTAGGATCTCGAGATGTGGTGGGAGGAGGGTGTTGGTCTTGGTATTGGCACAGAGTATGTAGGGATGAGAGGAAGAGAGACTGCAGACGTCGACGGCAGCGTATGTAGGAAAGCAGGGTGTGTGACTTTGCGGGTTGTCCTTGATGCTATTCTCGACTTGGGTCGAAGTGTGAAACGGGACGATGAGGCCGATGAGGTTACCGTCCGGTGCAAGATGGATAGAATATTAGTCGTGCTTTAGGTCGGAGGAAGAGGCAAAGAGAGATAAGCGAAGGAAACATGAAAACAATTCAGGAATTCAGGCGTCCATTGTGAATTTGTCTTGGGGGCTTGGAAGGTGGGAAGGCTGCGAGTTTTGAAGCGTCGCAGGGGAGAATTGGTCGCGAACGAGACCAGGGGGAAAGGATCGTTTCTCGATTTGGATGAAGACAAGGTCGAAGGAGGACCCCGCTGCTGCGCTTAGAGGGGCGTGGGAGGAGTGGGAAAAAGACGCTCGAGAAGTCGAGCGCTATTTTGCGCCTCTAGAGGGTGCGAGAGATGACAAGGGTCCTGTGCGAAAGAATAATGGAGATGGAGGGATGGGGGTCGGGGGACAGGTGCAAAGAGAGGCAGACCAGACCGACCAGGTACGCAGTACAAATTGAAGTGAGTAGGTATAGTAAGTAGGAGCGTGCACAGTACCTCGTACCTTCCACAGCATTTTTACTTTGTCAGACGTTGGGTGGTAGGATGGAAGGGATGGAGGGGTTTAGATGGGGGAGAGACATGGGGGGGGGATGGGGAAGAACGGGAAGTGAAAGGGGAGGCAACAACAAATGGGCGAGCAGGCGGGTTGGTTGCGAAGAGAATAGGTAGGTCGTTCTTTTGGTTGGTAAGGAAGGTACGGATGGATGGTGAAGCAGATACCAAGGTCGGCAGGTACACTACCCAGGGCAAGTACGTACATTAGGTTATGGGGCCGGGTCATCCTGGTGGCGGCTTGCTTTCCTTCCATTTGACAGTCTGCAGGAGGAGCAAGTGAAGCGTCGCAAAACAAAAACGGCAGCATCGACAGCAACAGCAGCGTCGCTGTCTGTACACGATACTTACATGGTAGCCACTACGCCATTCTTTGGACTTCCCTTGATCAACACCCACCACCGCAGCTTATCGTGAAAAAATCGAATCAAACACTTGGCATCCTCCCTCAGCAAGCGACAACGGACGGGAGGCATCGAGCAGTGCAGCTGTGCCACTCTCTGTCTAGCCAAGCCTGGGTCCAGGCCAGTGTGCAATGTCCAGAGCTCCTCAATGACCATTCAGCAAGCAGCTTTCGCGAAGGCTGCGGCCAAGACGGTGTGCAGCCAAGGAACCACCAAAGACAAGCAGAGCCCGCGGCGGGTATTGCTCAAATGGTTGTCAAGTATTTTCTACCTAGTGACCTACGGATAGTGTACACCACAATCCGGTTGAGGGGAGGGAGGAGGGAAGGATTTGAGCGAGGATTTGGGGAAGCAGTGACCACCTACCTACGTAGTGTAGGCATGTAGGCAGTACCTATGTACAGGTATACGGGACCATTGCGCTGGATGAACGGTGCTTGCAAGACGCGACTGGAGAATATGCCCTGAAGTGGAGCCATTTCCATGCACATCCGGGGTCCACTCCACGGGCAACACACCAGCCGAAACCCTGACAAGACACCCTCCTTCATCGCTCTCTCACTCGATCAGTTGCCCACTCTCATCGGCCCTTGTCATCGAACTCGATGAGCCCTGCCCTGCCCCGTCGACATTTGTACAAACACTAACTACACGATATACAGTAGGTACTTGCACTGTACTGCACTGCACTGCACCCTACCGTATCGCGCACCCAGGCATATCAGGCGGGACGGCATTGGCATTCCATGCCCATCAGTCGCTTGCTGCACGAGAATGGAGCGTCGACCTGCGACTTGGCACCCTACACCTACGCTGCCACCTGCAGTGCCTTGCCACTTTACCATATGCCATCGGCTCCCATGGCCTGGCCAAGGCGAGAACTGCATAGTAAGTGACTGAAGAAACCCGTGGATCCTGCCAGGAACAGCACGAGAGCGAGCAATCATGGTCGCCAGACGCAGTGAGCCTTGGAAACCGGAAACAACCCCAATGGAGGAAGTTTTCTAGAAAGAAAGATAGAAAAAAAAAAGGAAAAAAAAAGGACCAGTGGTCTCGTCTCTGGTGGGGAGGGGCATCGCGTTAACGTTGGCCAACTTACCTAGTAAGTACAGGTCCAACCTGTAATCTTTATCTGTAACAGCGACTGCCATATAAGACAGTCGGCGTTGACATTAGCCACCACAAAGTAGCTCGCGTAAAAAGAATCAAATAAAAAGGTAACCATTGGCACTGACGCCTGTTATTGGTAAGTATTGACAGGCAAAACAAGCAGGCTCGCAGGCCGGCGGCCAGCTTCACTTTTGCCTATCCATGTCCTATCTAATTACCATTCCGTTATGCTACGGCCCCGCCCATGACCTCCTGTGCCCATGTTGCGTGTATTTTTGGGAGGGGCGTGGGTGGGCGCGCCGATGTCCAGCATGCGTCGTGACCGCAGTCCACGATCAACGCCAACTGATATCGAGTGCATAGATTGGCAAGACACAGCTCGACCCCGACTCCTGCCCTCACACGCTGACGGATGAGACACATGAGATGAGTGAGGCGATGGATTGCTTGGCTGACAGCTGTCTTGGGTTTCTCTTGAAGCTCTGGCGAGCGTGGAGACATGGGAAAGAAGAGCCAGCCAACTTTTTTGCTTGCTTGACTTTGAAAAGGACTGGCCCCAATGGGTCTTCCGTCTCCTCGTCCCTAATTCTTCTTCCAGTGTGCCGTCCGTACATTAGCTGCGCCGCCGGCTCATGGGGGGGGGGGGGGGGGGGGGGGGGGGG